AGGCTGCAGCAGGTGAGCATGTCAGGGGTGCTCAGGATGCAGCAGGTGAGCATGTCAGGGTGCTCAGGCTACAGCAGGTGAGCATGTCAGGGTGCTCAGGCTGCAGCAGGTGAGCATGTCAGGGGTTCACAGGCTGCAGCAGGTGAGCATGTCAGGGTGCTCAGGCTGCAGCAGACAAGCAGGTCAGAGTGCTCACTTATTCAAAGATTCCCTAGATCAGGTGAGTGTGGGAGAACATGGCCCACTTGTCTGGCCCTAAGATCAGCCCCTCCTGAGCCAGAGAACCCAGAAACATTGGCCTTGGCCACTGACTGGACCCTTCCTGGCATAGCTGTATGGATGTGGCCTACATTTGTGTGCCCTGCTCTCCCTTTTAGGTTTTCCAACCTTCCACGTCTTTCTCTTTCAAATTAGCTCTTAAACCATGATATGAAACCTCTTGGGAGGATCCCAGAGCAGAAAGATTCCAAATTAAAGGAGCCCTACTCTGATCAGGACACCAAAAACAATGAAATGTGGTGGGATAAGTACTGGCTCAAGGAGTCGGGACATGTTCAAAATACACATGTCCACACCTGTAGAGGGATGGCCAATTTCTGGATTAGCTAGAGGAAGGTGGCCATCTTACCATTCTGGCAGACCCTACCTCATCACAGCCATGGAGACCATGGGGTAGCTGTAAGATAGAGGAAATGAGCCTGTTGGAGTCACTATCTGAGCTGCTCTGTGAAGGACCTGGGGAGGGAAACATCAAGTGATCCCTGTTCAAAAGGGACACTGCCCTGGGTGTCGGAAGTAACGAACTAAGGCGCTTCAGAGGAAGAAGCCCTTTGGGTTTCCCGCCATACACAGTGGGCCTTGGCTTCTTCTCTGCCAGCTGAGGACTGAATTCTCCTCCACACCCAGGAGGCTAGGTGCTGGAAGGAGCTACCAAAAGGGGCACCAGCAGACATGTGAAAACAAGGGCAAATGCTTATAAAGTTCCAAGCTGTCCCCCAGAAACTTGAACGTGAGTACGCTGTACTAGATAAATAGAAGCTAAGAGACTTGACCTGGCTGGAGACAAGAAGGACAAGGTGTTGAAGAGAGATTGGAACTTTATTGAGACGTTCTCCCTGACGAAACCAGAGTGGAAAGAACACTGGAAAGGTTGGCCGCTGTTCAGGCACCTACATGGAATTCCACTCAGGAAATCCCTGGATCTCATGCTTCTCCTGGATTGAAACTCCCTCCTCCTAGAGTCAGAACCCTACTCAGAACCCATCTCTGCAGAGCTGGGCAAAGAACGGGTGCTAAACTCTGTGCTGGCCCATCAGCAGCCCGCAGGCAGGAGAGGAAAGTGAATTAGCGGGTGAGAAGAGGAACAGAATGGAGACAAAGAAGAAAAAGATGGAGGAAAATCCAAATGGAAGGTAATGCCAATAAGGTGCCCTCCCCCAAATACAAATACTGTATGAATTTGCTTGTCTTATTTCACCTGCTTCCCCAAGCATGCAGGCACTGACAGCTAGGCCAGGGGCCATACGGTCCGCGTTGCTCCCCCTCTCTCTGACTGCACTGAGAAAAACCAGATTTGCTACACCAAGCCCTCAGGCATGAGGAGCATGAAAGAGAAAGGTGGAGGGACAGTCTCTCCGGAGAGCAAGTGATGGAGAGATGAGGAGTTTGAGGGTTGGATGTATATTTTAATGAGAAAAAAATCCAAGACAGACTGCAGCTCATCTACCTGAGTGGGTGACCCTATGAAAGGAACTCACTCCTTGGAAACGGTGTCTTGGCAGCTTTGGAGCATTTGACTTGTGGGAGGTCCTGGGCCCTACAGAGAGCCAAAGCAGCAGCTTCCCTTATAGCCAAACAGCTAAGTATCAGAGAGACATGAACTCCTAACCTGAAGTTCTTCATATAGCCCCTACTGATGACCAATCTGCTTATCCTCCCTACATGATCCTCAGAAGGAACAACTCTGGCTCAGCCTTCCTTCCTTCCTTCCCCACTTTCCTTCCGCTCCAGATGACTCACAGGTACTGGTAGATCCCAACTCATGCCTCACAATCAAGGTCCTCAGGACAGCTTGCTCCCAAAGAAAAGCAGTTGGCTGTGCTCAAAGGGCCCTCAAGAGAGCCTGACCTTCACCTTGCCTGCTTTTCATCCTCCCAGGGCTTCTTGCTCCCATGTGCTCCAAGGTGGCAGTGTATGTCTGCCATGCAAGACTCTGAGGAGTCCTTTCTCTGTGCCCTCAAGTCTTTCATTGCCCTACTCCCTTTTGTACAGTGGACACACAAATGCACACTCACTGGTGTGTGAAGGTCCTGGCTGTCCTGACTGCATTCAGTGGATATCTGCAGAAGTTCAGAAGGAACTTGAACCTCAGATCTTGTGTGCCACCAATGCCAAGGGGCTGGGGCTGGTTCTAAGTCTAGGGAATTTCTCTCAGACGGAAGTATTGGTGCATCAGGGAATGGAGAATAAGGAGAAGGAGAAGCCACAGTCCTGGGAACCAAGAGAGACATGTCATCTGTCAAGGGTTCCCACAAAGAAGTTGTAGAAACAGTTTCCCCTGTACTTGGGAGAAGTGGCTTCCAAAGAAGCCTCCAAGGACCAGGAACAAGGTCCCCATTGTCCTTTCTGAAACCAACACCTTTGTGATCTGAGTTTTCCAAGACATGCAACAGACAAAGACACACTGCAAACCAATTAACCCCTGAGCCCTTCCAGTACTTTCATGTAAGCCATTTTCAGGAGGAAAAGTACTTCTTGAGTACATCACCTACTCACCCTCCTTTTGGGGCCAACTAAGTGTCTGAGCTCTCCAACTGAGACATCAATGAAATGATACTTGGGGTAGCAGATCAACATCCTAATCAGAAAACTCTTGTTTTAGTGTTCTGGATGCCCTACCTGTTGGGAAGATGGAGAAGATTCCAAGGTTGGGCTCAGAATTCATGAAGATCAGACTCAAGAGACTGTCCACCGCTGAAAGCCAACCCAAGCATAGGAGGGAGCCAGAGAGGCAGAGGGAACGGACAGAAGATTTGTGTGAAAGGAGTTGACGCTCACTGACCTCAAAGCCCTCTAGTACTTGGGAATTTACTGAGGTCGGCTTATTTGACCCTCATTATCTGAGTAGTCAATAGAAGTTAGCTGCTCTCTGTCCCTCCAAGACAAGACCCAGGAAAACAAGGGAAGCCTGACTTGCCAGTGTCAGGCCTTCGAACGAAGCAATAAGACAAGCACACTATAATTCACAGTTTCCACTCTCCTCCCTAGAACCCTTGTTCCTTCCCTGGCTCACCGGCCTCAATGAACTCCCTAATCTCCAATGCAGACTGATTGTCACCAGTATGGCTCAAAGGGTTAATAAACCAGGACTTCTCAGACAGTTAGGACATAAGCTCATTCGCCAGTGGGGACCCGAGAATGGCTACACACAAACTAGTGCTTCTTGTAGCGATTCTTTGGGGTCTCACCACAGCCTGTTTTGTCACAATTAGGAGCACCTGGATTCTTCCCAAGCCCAAGGCTACCCAGAAGACTGGGGAGCTCCTGGGTGATGGCCCGTTCAATCTTCTCCAGGAAGCAACCCCCCATGTAAGAGCACTGCTGAGAGAGGAGTTTGAAATTGGAAATGGGGTTGATGCCAAAGAAGTCCTTATAGGCCTCACGGTTGGGAAGGTCAAACTTGCTGACATTGGTCTTTGCCAGGATGGTCTTGAAAATGTAGAATTTATCAGGATCTTCCACAATGTCCTTAAAAACCAGTTCCCCATCGCTGAAGAAGGTCATTTTGTCCTTGTAAGTCTGCAGATAGCGGTCAACTAAGAGGGCATGGATTCGGACACGGATGGCATGCTGGCGGATAAAAGCGATCTTGTTCTCTAACCTGTTCTCAATCACCTGGTTCAGGTCTTCCAGGAGAGAGATCTCTTCTTTGAGGAACAGTTCCCGGTGGGTGTCAGGCTTATAGTCCTGTGGCCAGAAGGAGCTGACATAAACCCGTGGAGGCTCTGTGACATTGATAAGAGGGGCCAAGCTCCAGAAGAGAGCTCCGTATACCCGCATGAGCATTTGCGTGGCCAGGTTGTCAGCCTTGTTCAGAATGATCCTTATCTGAGACTCCCGTCCCTTCAGCTGGCGGAAGAGCGTCTCCAGCTCCAGACCCACATCCAACTTGGTGGGATCAAACACAACAAAGATGAGGTCAGCTCTGTCGATGAACCATTGGCACACGTCGTTGAAGGGGTAGCCTTGGAGAGACAGGAATGAGAAGTCAGGCTGAGTGGGACACACACAAAGCCCTTTGCACCCCCTCCAGGACCAGACCCTTACGTGGGCGGAACAAAGTCATAGCACTGGCAATTTCCTGGATTTCTAGAGACCAGTGAGCATTATCTCTTGCTTTTTGTCAGCCTTTAATCAATAACAGCCTGACCCATGCTTTAATATACAGTGGCTTCTGAGTCCCTAGTGAAGTGAAGTGTTTGTCCAAAGTGGAGCTTTTTGTGAAATGTGTGGTAGTGCAACCCTGAAATCCTAGGGAAGCAGATGCAGGAGGATCTTCAGTTCAAGGCTAGGCTGAGCCGCCTAATGAGACCCTGTTTCAAAAACAAAAACAGCAACAAAAAGGGAAAAAAATCAGGACTAGAGAGATGTCTCATTGGTTAGGAGCACTGGCATCCCTTTCAGAGGAGCCAGGTTCTGTCCCCAGCACCCACATGCCACTCACCACTGTCTGTAACTTGAGTCTCAGAGGAGCCAAGTCCCTCTTCTGGCCTCCGTGGGCACCAGGCATGCATGTGGTACAGACATACATGCAGGTAAAACAACCATACACATAAAAATAATTATTTTATTTTATTTTTGGTTATGGTTTTTTGAGACAGGGTTTCTCTGTGTGCCCTGGCTGTCCTGGAACTCACGCTGTAGACCAGGCTGGCCTTGAACTCCTGCTGCTTCTGCTTCCTGAGTGCTGGGATTAAAGGTATGTGCCACCATTGCCCAGCTAAGAAATAATAAAAATTTTAAAGGGAAAAAGCGAGTGATTTTCCAAATGTCTAAAAAGACGTAGGACAATGGCAAAGGTGTTGAAAGAAGAGTATCAGGAAGTCAGAAGGAAAAGGGATGTATGACTTAAAGAGAAAAATGTGGGTCAAGTGTTGAGTGTCTGTCAAGACCTGGGCTAGCTACAGACCAGCTGGATGGTCACTCATCTTAAATTCTTGCTCATAAGCTATAAAATTATGAAAAGAACAGTAATACCAACACTAACTTCAAGACTACTGTGTTAGGCTGGGTGTGGTGGTACACACCTTTGCTCCCAGAACTCAGGAGGCAGAAGCAAGAGAATCTCTGTGAGTTCAAGGCCAGCCTGGTTGTCATAAAAGTTCCAAAACAGCTAGAGCTGTCTCAAAAACAACAAAAAAAAATAATAATGTTCTAAGAGATAGAAAGAGATAGATCACTGTATTTCAAACAGGCAAACACCTGATTAACTCAGCAGCTATACAGGTGCTCATTATATGTGAATTCTCACTTGTTCTTTCCTTGGTTTTCTTATTTACAAAACAAGATGACAAGGATGTGATGGCTGTTCTTGGTTGTCAACTTGACTACATCTGGAATGAACAAAAACCCAAGTGGCTGGGTTCATCTGTGAGGAAATTTTCTTTTCTTTTTTGGTTTTTTCAAGACAGGGTTTCTCTGTGTAGCTTTGTGCCTTTCCTGGAACTCACTCCGTAGCCCAGGCTGGCCTCGAACTCACAGAGATCCACCTGCCTCTGCCTCCTGACTGCTGGGATTAAAGGCATGCACCACCACCGCCCAGCTGGGAATTTTCTTTATTAAATCATTTGAAGTGGGAAGACTCCCTTTTAATCTGATCTTTTGAGGTGGGAAAAGCCACCTTTAATCTGGGCCATACCTTCTGCTAGCAGCCTGTATAAAGGACATAGAAGAAAGAAGCTTGCTCTCTTTGCTTGCTTCCCTCTATCTCACTGCCAAGTTCATTCCTTCACTGGCATTAGAGCCTACTTCTTCAGGATTCCAGTGTATACTGAAGACCAGCTGACACATCCAGCCTTGTGGACTGAACAACTACTGGATTCTTGGACTTTCTGTTAGTGGACAGCAATTGCTTGTAATCCATTCTAATAAATCCCCTTTATATCTATCTATAGAAATAAAGAGTGATATGATACACATATCATATATACATAGGGAGATGATAGGTAGATAGATAGATAGATGATAGATAGATAGATAGATAGATAGATAGATAGATAGATAGATAGATAGACAGATAGATAGACAGACAATAGATAGATGATAGATTCATTCTATAAGTTCTGTTCCTCCAAAGAACCATGACTAATACAAACAGTTTTGAAAACACTGATTTTTTATAATGACCAACAAAATAATGTATAAAGCTATCTGATTCATAATAGAGGCATAATAAGATTATCATAACTCTAAATTATATTATTACTAATAAATCAGGGTCTAGTTGGGCTGTGGAACAATCTTTGTACCCTGTGGCTAAGTATTACTCTCATTGGTTAATGGAGAGCTGACTGGCCAATAGCTAGGCAAGAAAAGGTTAGGTAGGACTTGTAGACAAAAAGAGAGCACAGGGGTAGAAGGAAGCGAAGTCACCAGCCAGACACAGAGAGAAGCAAGATGAATATGCCATGCTGAAAAAAACCCACCACAAGGTAGAGCACAGATAAGAATTACAGGTTAATTTAAGTTATAGGAGCTAGTTAGTAACAAACCTAAGCTATTGTCTAAGCATTTATAATTAATAATAAGTCTCTGTGCATAATAAATGGGGAGCTGGCAGTCCTGATGAAAAACTCTGCCTACATAGCTATAACCCAAACACAAGTCATAACCATAAACTGAGATTTTCCATTTAATCACCTGTTACTATGACTGCCCAGGTTAGGACACATCAGTGCAGATAGCCCTGTGCCAAGGCAGTATTCAGGGCCCTATTATACAGCCCTGCATCTGAGGCAGACAGGGCCTGAGAAGCCTAATAAAGGTTTAGGTTAAAGCAGGCCTAACAAAGCAGATGTTGGGAGTAAGAAGAGATGTAGACCAAGTTCAACAGAATAAGCCCATGCCCAAGACCTAGGTTAGCCAGAATTCAAGTATAATGCACCAGGATCCCATTAGTCCAGGCCCTCCCCTATTCAGGATAGACTGAGTACCCAAAGACAGCTAGCCCCCAGCTTGGACATCTCCAAGACCTTACAGAGAAGACCAGTACTTCTCCTAGGAAAATACTGGCCATCTCCAAACTCAGGCAGCCCTTTAGGAGGCAGAGAACACAACACTCCAGACCCCAAGTGGTACCACAGTAGCAGTGAGAAGGAGTGGAGGTAAAGAATGCATCTCCTTGGTCTTAAACATTAACCATTCTTGCTTCCTTGCTGGACTACCATCCTCTGTTGATCACAGTATCCTAACATAGAGCTCTTGCTATTCAGAAATGGATTCGTGTGTGTGTGTGTGTGTGTGTGTGTGTGTTGCATGCATGTACAGGTGAGTGTACCCATAAGTGTGTATACATTGGGAGAAGGATGGTAGGGTCTTCCTTTACTACTTTCTGTTTTATTTTTTTAAGACAGGGTCTCTCATTTTGGTTAGGCTGGCTTGGCCACAGAGCTCCAGGATCCAGGGATCCACCTATGCCCACCCTACAACACTGGCATTATAGGCACAAATATTTTTTTTGGTTTTTTTGAGACAGTGTTTCTCTGTGTAACAGCACTGGCTGTCCTGGAACTCATTCTGTAGATGAGGCTGTCCTGGAACTCACAGAAATCCACCTGCTTCTGCCTTCCAAGTGCTGGGATTAAAGGTGTGTGCCACCGCTGCCAGGCTTCATGCCTGGATTTTGACATGGGTGCTAAGCATTTGAAGTCAGGTCCTCATGCTTGCAAAACAGGTACTCTTACTCTGAGCACATCCCCAGCCCCTGAATTACCTCTTTCCTGTTGTTTGCGGTTCTCAATGATGCCTGGTGTGTCTACAAAAGTGACTCGTTCTAGAAGTTTGTGGGGAACCTCGATGCCGATCAGCTTCTCCAGAAAATTCTGGCCAAACTTTTCCAGTGGTGAGAAGGATCGGGCACTGTCAGCAGCCATGACGATGCCCTCAATGGTTTTCAGCTTGGGCCCATGCATAAGGACAGTGAACTCGGAAGTGGTGGGTTCAGCACCTGCATGCACGGGTGAGAAGTGGAAAACAATAGCCACTGAGAAACAGACTTCTGGAAGGGTGTGAACAAGCAAGGTGTCTGGGAAGGAAGGACTTCCACACGGACAGGACAGGTGTGCCAGGTTCCTGCCTTCTCACTTTTTAATTGTGTCAAAATACACAGAACATAACATTTACATTTTAATCTTTAAACCTATAGTTCAATAGCATTAATATAGTCACATTATCATGCAAACAGTTATCCTCACTCTCCAGAACTTTATCATCTTCCCACACGGAAACTCTGTTTCCATTAAGTAGTAACTCCCCATCCCCTTCCCTGGCAACCTCTATTCTTTCTCTGCCTCTGAGTTTTTCCTATTGTGGCACCTCATATGAGTGGAATCATACAGTCTCTGTGCTTTTGTGCCTGACTTGTTTTACTTAGCACACTTTCAAGGTTTATCCATATTGTGGCAAGGATGTATCCGATGTGTTCTGACAGCATGCATGTTTCATTCCCTTCTATCTGTGCTTGTCTGTGTGTGAGTGTGTGTGTGTTGCACGCATCTGCCGTGGCACAGGGGTGGAGGTCAGAAGACAGACAACTATGGGTATCCTCACCTTCTACTTTATCTCTTGTACACTGCTGCATAGGCCAGGTTAGCTGGCCTCTAGGCTCTCAGGGGTTCTCTTAGCTCCAACTCCGATCTCCCTATAAAAGTACTGCAATCGCAGACACATGTGCTACTCATGTGGCTTTTATGTGGATCCTAGGGACCCGACCTCAAATCGTCAGGCTTGCACAGCAAGCACTTCCCCACTGAGCCGTCTCCTCGGGTCTGCAACATTCCTTTCTAAGGCTAACATTCCATTGGATACACAGGCTACATTTTGATTATTCCTTCGTCCAGCAGTGGACACTTGAGTTGTTTCTATTGTATGAATAATGCTGCTGTGGAGGTGGTTGAGCTGCTGGATCTTGTATGTAATTTTCATTAATACTTTAAGGGCATACAAGTGCTTTAATTATTCATCTGCTTTAACAATTTACACCCCCCCCCACCTTCTCACCTGTGTAAAGCTGGTAGCGAGTGTCTTCTAGCCCGAGGAGGTAGTTTATCATGGTGGATTTGCCGACGCTCCACGGTCCCAGGAACAGCACCATTGGCTTGGAAGTAATCTCCCCATCTGCAGACAACAGGAATTAGAAAGAGAAGTGCACTAACACCAGTTCTTACTGTGGGTGCAGCACTGCTCTCCAAAGCACCCTGGATTCCCCACATCAACCAACTGCTTGTGGGGTTCCACGTGGATCAAACTGTGCAGCAGTCAGTGGCACTTTTCTTGCTTTACAAGAACATTCACTCAAAAGACAGCAGACGTCAATGTTTTGACCTCTTCCAGATCCTTTGCACATCTGGAATTCGTGGATTATTCCATACTGGCTCAGTGCTCACTCTAGGTGCAGTCTCCTGTCTAGAAAGAATGGTTCATAAAAAGGACGGAGCTTCTGCACTGAGAAAGACTGAATTTTGCTACTCGGATCAATAACAAGAGAAGAAAGGACATGGGAGAGGCACAGACAGTGTTGAACCATCTGAACTCACTGGGGCTCCCCAAACCCCATCAAAAGCACAGACTAGTCTCAGATAGTCTGCTCCAAAGTCCATGATAAGTCTTCAGGGTCTGAAAACTGGGAATCCTTAAATTATTGGGCCCTGAGGCCAAGGTCCTCCCTGACGCCATGCTGGGTAGCACACCCTGCCAAGGCTACCCAGCAAGGGAAAGTAGAATTCTCCAGTGTTTTCAAAAATAGGGATGGGGGCTTAGGAGGGTGCTCAGGGACAGAGCATTGGCATAGAATGTGTGATGCCATGGTTCACTCCCCAGTACTACAAACATAGAATAAATACGAGCAAAGAAGGGGGTGGACAGAGATATGATTTGTCTTCTTGTTGATTTCTTGTCTTCTCAGTTCTTTTCTGAACGATCTCCACAGAGCACCTACATTCTCCAGACTTTTGCCTTCCTGAGCCTGCAGATAGCCCTCCAAAGGTAGGCCTCCTTTTTAAACTTTTTTCATTTATTTTCTATAATTTTGTATAACATCTTGACTCAAAAGTCTGAAGTACAAAAAGACCCACTTTGTCTAGGCCGTAACACCCTCTCTAATAGGTAACTAATGCTAGAGTTTTCTCTATTTTTTTTTTTATTTTGAGACAAGGTTATATTATATTGACCAGGATGCTCTCAAAGTCCTGGGCTCAAGAATCCAGTGGTTCTCCTGCCTCAGCCTCCAGAGTATCTGAGACTATATTTGTATGCCACTACACTGGGCAGCATTGCTAATTTCTGGCATTTTCCCAGCTACCTTGATGTGTATAATCAGTGTTGTAGATATCCCAGCTCATCGTTTCTGTACAGCGGACAGTATGATTCCCCTTCTGCACCTGGCTTTTGGATGCCCGGCTTTTGTTTCTCTGGGGTGTCTTGTGCGTGGTGAGCACATATTCATGGCCTGGGCCCTTCCCTCCTGCCTGTAAATATGCATAAGAGGCCCTCTGACCTGGGGACAGGACGGATTAGCAGGTCAAGAGGGGTACACCCAGTTACAGAGATTTGACGAAAGGCCATTCAGTGCTGGTTATGTGAGTTCTGAGACAGGGCTTCTGGCTGCTGCTGTACCAACTCTGCACAGCAGGGGGCACCGTGGGCATACCTGGGAGGCCAGTAATAAGCTTGAAGGATAGGGGTCATGCAGGAAGCTGGCAAGAGATTAGGACAGAGAAGCCAAGTCCAGAAAGGGAAGCCAGAAAAGAGCCAATTGGCCTTTGCTGAGAACCAACCAGTTGGCCACTGAGGCTCTAAGTCTGGGGTTCCCCAGGAGGGCCATCCCACTCCCAGTGTCAGAGTAGGAAGAGAAGGCAAATACAGAGGACAAAAGAAACCTCATACCACATCCTCTAAGAAGCAGACGAGGACAACTGACTCTTAGGCTTGTAAGAATGGTAGGACTAACAGAACGGGGCATTCCCTGGGGACAGAAACAGAATCGCCATCCTGACAGTGACTTCGTGGCCAGGGCAACCAGCGCTACCTGGGCACCAGGTTCCTTTCTGTACAGTAGGAATATATATGCCCTCAGATGCCGCAGCTACTCAATAGGCATTAGGATAATATGGGAACTGCCAAGGAACACAGGGAGAGATTTCTGTTATCACTCACAATTAAATCAAGGGCTGGGTTATAGCTCAGTGGTAGAGCGCTTGCCTAGGATGCTCAAGGCCCTGGGTTCCATCCCCAGGAACTGAACTGAAAAGAAGAAAAATAACAGTTATGGAAGCTTTTGGAGAGGAGTAGGAGCAGCTGCGGCTGTAGCTCAGTGGCAGGGCCCCTTCTTACCATGCCTGAAGTCTGGGGTGTAGCCCCAGAACTACAAAATGGGGAACACTTTTTAAAATGGCAAACTGTGGTGGAAAAAAAATTCTCTGGTATGTTCTCATAAGATTAGAGTATTTCAAGGTGATTTTACGACAGTGATCAAAATACTTAATTCTAGTGTTCCATATTAATTTTTAAGCATTTATTTGTGGGGCTGGGATGTTCCAGAGGATGAACTGTGGGACTTGGTTCTCTCCTTCCAGCATGTAGGTTATCAGGGCTGGCAAGCGGTGCTTTTACCCACTGAGATGTCTTGTCCGCCCCTCTACTGTCCTGTTTTAAAAACAAGGAGCAAACAAAACACGTCCTACAAATATCTGTACATAAGACATACAGTGACTCTGCCAGTGGCTGGGATGTTTTAATCTCACTTTTCCCAGGCATCATCACACTCTGAAGCCCAGGCTGGCTTTAAAGTCTCTGTGATCCCCTTGCCTCAGCCTGCCAAGTGCTGAAACTATAGACACAGCCACCATGCCCAGTTGTGGGGCATTACATTTTTAATTTATCTTATATGTACATATATGATATGCTTGCATGTGTGCAGGTTCACACGGCATGGTGTGTGTATAGAGGTCAGAGGACAACTTGCAGGGGCTGATTCTCTCCTTCTGCCATGTGGAGCCCAGGAGGGCTTGGAGGCAAGGACCTTTATCTGCTCAGCTTCCTCACTAGCCTCATTTTGTTGGGGAGGAGTCTTTTTGAGCTCTGGCTCTCCTGCCCTCACTCTGTAGACCAGGCTGGCCTCAAACTCACAGAGATCCACCTGCCTCTGCCTCCCGAGTGCTGGGATTAAAGGTGTGCACCACTACTCACAGCTACTAGCCCCATTTTATTTAAGGCAGAAATGGAAAGCACCCATTGTCCCTCGGGAATTGGATGTTGGTTGTACAGAGTCTGGTGTATTCATAGATGACAGGACCAAGAAGCTTCAATAAAGAATAATGGAGAGGTATGCATGCATGCACATACATATATATATATATATACATATATACATATATATATATATATACATATATACATATGTACAGCTGGCATAATATGATTCCATATATGTAAGAAGAAAAAGACAATTCTATGCTCATAGATATAGAGGAATTTCTGGAAGATCCTATTACTTCCTGTAGTTTTGAGCACTATAACAAGAAGCTCTGTGTGTGTGTGTGTGTGTGTGTGTGTGTGTGTGTGTGTGTGTGTGTGTTGTTTTGGAAACAGGGCTTGCCATGTACTAAGCCCAGAACTCACTGTGTAACCTAATCTGGCCTCAATGTTAAAATTCTCCTCCTGCTTCTGCCTCTTAAAATCTAGGATTACAGTTATATGCCTGGCTTTATTTTTCAGTTTATATTATTTTACATTATTTGAATGCAATTGAAAAAATTGTATTTTATTATTTTTGAAACCAAGTTTTAAAAGAATCTAGGCCCTGTTCTGGGTGCAGTAGCACATCTGTGTAAAGCCAGCTCTCAGGAAGCTAAGGCAGGAGGTTCTCAAGTTCAAGGCCATCCTGAGCTACATGGTGAGACCTTGTCTCAAAAATCAACAGCAGCAGCCACATGTAGTGGTGCACACCTTTAGTCCCAGCACTGAGGGCAGAGGCAGGCAGTTCTCTATGAGTTTGAGGCCAGCCTGGTCTACAGAGAGAGTTCCAAGACAGCCAAGGCTACACAGAGAAATCCTGTCTTGAAAAACCACACACAAACACACACAAATCATCATCATCATCATCATCATCATCATCATCATCATCATCCAGACCCAAAGGAGGCCTTCCAGGAGGAACAGTAAGAAGGCTGGGAGAAAGATAGGTCATATGGAGGCCTATGTGAATAGGAAGCCTGGAGACTCTGGAGCCCAGAGGGATCACACAGGCCTACTCCCTGGAAATCCAATGCCTACTGCTGAGACAAATGCTTAGCAATGAAATCTCTGTCACTCTCCTACAGTACTGAGCACTCACTCCTCTAGGAAAGGCCACTTCCCAGGCCTGAGCTTCTGTCCTCCACTCCTCAGGGAAGCTCAGCTCCTGGAGTCCTAGCACACATTACACATGGACCTTGTGAGCCTGTGTGGGTACCAGGGAGGTGGCGCAGCGCCCACTTCTGGGTCCTGGTGCCATACCTGTGATCTCATGCTGTCGCAGCTCATTGTACTTGTAAGATTGCTCCAGGGGCTTGATGGATGTGTGATAGATCTTCCGCAGCCGCTGCAGTACCGCTGGGAGAGAGGAGCAAGGAGTGAGCATCGGGCAGGACCAACCCCATGCTGCCTGCTCCTCACTCCAGAGCCATTGCATACCCCAAGAGAGTCTATCTCTGCCTGGTGAGGAGGAAAACCATTGGCAACCCAAGATGGTGACATGACTGTGTTTGGGAAGGAGCTGGTCCACATCCCACCCTCAGAAACCCTCAACCCAGAAGCATTTCCTACCCAATCTGCAAAGCCTCCTGAGTTATTTAAGAAACAAAACAAAACAAAGAACTAATTCTTGGCCAGGCACTGTGTCATACACTTTTAATCCCAGCATTCAAGAGGCGGAGTGGCTGGATTTCTGTGATTCCAGGAGCCTCCTGGTCTACATAGCAAGTCCCAGGCAGCCAGGCAGTGGGACATTGTCTCAGGAATAGTAACAGACCAACTCTCGGGCTGGGATGTGGCTCCGCTGGCGAAGTGCTCACCCCCCATGCACAAGCACAGACCCCTGGGTTCAGTCCCTAGCACCATAACAACAACAACACAAAAAACAGGTTTGGCGGCACACACCTGTGATCTCTACTCAGGGGTGATAGCAGGAAGATCAGGAGTTCAAGGTTCTCCTCTGCCACATAGGGAGTACCAGGCCAACCTGAGCTACACGAGACACTGTCTCAAGAAAAATTAAATTGAAACCCTAATACTCTCTTCCTTCCTCACCCCAATGACATAAGAAAAGCTGGGTTGTCCTTGGGAGATGAGAATCTCATGTCTGTGCCCCTGTTTGTGCTGCCGAGGTCCACAGTGTAAGGAGGTTGGGTGCCCAGAAGACCCATACACAGTGCTCCCTGGAGGATTCAGACACGCCCATGCTCTGGGGGAGCAGAAACCCAGGGTGCAACTGAGAGCTGGGGGGGGGTGTGGCACAAGAGGACAGTGTGGAGAGCAAGAATCAGGCTAGTAATGCTCTGGTCCTTGCACTGCCACATCTGGCTGTATGCCAAGAGCAAACTGCTGTATTAATCTGTGCTTGGCTAGTTAATTAAGAAAGGATAAGAAGCCCCCACTGAAATCCTTGGTTCATTATGGGGCAAAATAAAACATGAGAAATGGAAGCTGTGTAAACTAAAAACCAAAGCAGATAAGATGGATTCTTATTATCCGTCCGCCCCGCCCAAGGCTGGTGGTGGGGTGGTGGGTCGCATCTGACAGGCAATGGCTCTGGAACTCACCTCTGTTCTGACACTGTGCCCTCTGCTTGGTTATCTTCCTTGCCCCTGCCTTGGCCTTGTTCACAGAGTTGCCTCACATAGCCCCTTCCCCGGGTTCCCCTCTGGCCTCAGAACTACAGAGCCCTGGTGCCTGGACCCCAGCCCATCTCCTCCCCAGTTACCTGTGTAATCGTCCGATGGCTTGTCCTCATTCAGCATCAGGGTTTTCTCAATGTGGGAGCGGTCCCTCATGGGGGCCTCTTCACTCACATCCTCAGTCTCTTCTGGGAAGAGAAGCAGACAGTGTAGGGTCAGAGCAAATCTAAGCCAGCAGAGCTCTAAGCTTCACAGAGATGGAGCAGGGCTGGGCCTCAAGTAGATGCAGAACCAAGTTGCCAAGTTGAATGAATTTGAAATGTAAATACAACTCTCAAGGGCTGGAGAGATGGCTCAGAGGTTAAGAGCACTGGCTGTTCTTGCAGAGGTCTTGAGTTCAATTCCCAGCAACCACATGGTGGCTCACAACCATCTGTAATGAGATCTGACACCCTCTTTTGGCATGCAGGCTGAACACTGTATACATAATAAATAAATATTTTTTTTAAAAAAAAAACCCACAACTTTCAAGACCCATGATCTATGTGTGTGTATTCATGTATGTGTAAGTATACAGGAGTGTGCATGAGCACATGTGTGTGGGAATGTGTGGAGGCCAGAGGTCAATCCCTGATGTCATTCTTCCAGATCTATCACCTTTTTTATTTGTTTATCTGTCTTATTTTTCCTGAGGTCTGTCATTGGCACCTAGGGCTCCCCAACTAGGCTTGACTGGCCAGTGAGCCCTAAAGATGTGTGTCTCTGGTCACCAGTGCTGGAATTCCAAGTGCACAACGCCACACTTGGCTTTTTACACGGGCCCTGGAGATCAAACTCAGACCCTCACAGTTGTGCAGTGAGCATTTCCCTCTATGGTTGGTCTTAATGTCAGCTGGTCACACGTTAGTGTCACCTCGTAGGAAGCTTCATTTGAAGAGCTGTCCTGATGCCCTAATTGGTGGAACAGAGCCCACCCACTGTAGGTGGCGTCATTCCTAAGCAGGTGGGCCTGGGCTACTTAAGAAAGCTAGCTGAGCAAACCAGAGGGAACAAGTCAGTAAACAGTGTTCCTCCATGGTCTCTGCTTCAGTTCCTGCCTCAGTTTCCCTCAAGTGGATGGACTTTAACCTGTAAGTGAAATAAATTCTTTTCTCCTCCAAGTTGTTTTTGGCCAGTGTTTTATCACAACAGAGAACAAGTAGGATGCTGACGAAGCTGCCACCCCACCCCATTTACTGTATTTCTTTTTCTAACTGTACTGAGCATAGAATGTGGTGGCACACACCTATAACCCTACCAGTCCAGAGGCCAAGACAAGTGGCACTCAAGTTCCAGGCCAGCCCAGGCTGTATAGCAAGGCCTTGTTTCAAAAAATAAAACAAACGTCCTGAACACCTATCACATGCCAGGGGCCAGATGTCATGCTGGCACCACAGTGACGTCTACACAGTGACATCTACACAGTGACATCTACACAGTGACGTCTACACAGTGACGCGGCTCCTGACCTTAGGAGGTCATCCTGCAGCGTAATGGGAACCAACTGATGAACTGTCTTTAAAACGTGATCATTTTGAGCAGCAAGGAGGCTATAGTAGCATTGAGGGCCTAAGAAGAATGCCTGCAGGTTTTTTTTGGGGGGGGTGGCAGGGGGTGCAGAGACCCCTTCCCTGACATCTGCTGTTGAGCCAGAGTTAGAAAAGAAAAGAAAGTAGTTTTCTGTAACGAGTCACATAGGTAGCCTGGCAAGGAGTGGTCTAGGTCCTCCAGGAGCTGACTGGACATCCTTAAAGACCATCACAGGGGGCTGCATTTTATCCCAGGGCAAAGAGAGCCATTGAGAGACTCTACTTACACTGAATGAACTACCTCCATTCAGTTCTACTCTCCTCAACTGAATGAACTTCTTGTCAGCTTAACACTGATGGGAAATGAGTGGAAGGAAGTGCTGCAGGTGTGTGAGTGTACCTGTATGTGCTGGCAGTCACAGACAGGTCAGCTGTCCCACTGACCAAGCAAACAAGAGACGCCCACAACTGACGAGTCCTGGGAAGGATGTTTTTCATGTTCCCTGGCCTCTAAGATCACTCATTTCTAGCGAAGATGCCTATTCAGGGATCTTAGATTATTAGGAGGATGTAGCTTAGGCTTGTGGGATAGAGGGAGGCCAGCATCTGCCTGTCTTATACAGCATTTCAGGCAGTCCCTGCTCCCAGAATCAAATTAGGAAAGATAGAGAAAGGGGAGGAGCTTACTGCTTGCAGTTCCACTTCCCTAAAGAAAGCATAAGTCCATAAAGAAGAGTATGAACATTAAATTCTGCAAGAAGCCAGGCATGTAGCACATGCCTATAATCTCACCGCATTCTAGAGGCTGAGGCAGGAAGATTAGGAGCTCAAGGCCACTTTGACATATTACATAATGAGTTCATGCCTAGCCTGGAATACATAAGCTCCTGTCTCAAAGTGGGAAAATAGCTTTAAGGAAATCTGCAAGGAAGCCATCTGGGAAAGTGACAGTGAGAACACTACCCAGCCTCTGCTCTGAAAGCCACCTTCTGTTCTAGTCACACATATCACACAAGGTCTTCAGGTCTGACCATGTCGTCCCTAATGCTGCCCAATAGCTCGGCCCCTCTCCTCCTTCTTCCCCGTCCCTAGAGGGGCATTTAAGGGCCGTCAGCCTCAGCTCTCACACCATGATCCTGACCCCTCGATTCCTGACGTTCACACCTTATGTGGGAAGTCTTCAAGAGCAGACTCAGTTGGAAGAAGAGTGCCCTGTGGTTCCTAACCTACCCCACCAACTCCCTGCATCTCCTTCCACTGGCCAGTCTCAGGACCACAAACCTGCCATCAGTCCCCTTGTCCTTAAGGCTGATGATCCACATCTAGCAGCCCTAAAAAGGAGCCTTCTTGGTCCTAACTCAGAAAAGGTTAAGTCCTTCTGAAGCCTCTACCCACACTGAAGTTAAGTGGCTAAGGAACTGCCTAAGTGGACTCTCTGGGTTAGCCCAAGGGACAGGGCCCTGCCTAACAAACCCAGAACTAACCTAAGATTATCCCACCCCCGTGTTTGTCCCACAATATACAAGATTTCCATAGAGGATGTTCTGGGATTGCCTTGAGGAATGAAGTCCTACCCTGATGAGCAATTACAGGGTTCCCTCTGCCCTGCTGTCTCTCTTTGGATGCCTCCGCCTCTGTATCCTGGGTCTTGCCACCCTCCAGATCTTCCACATCAAGCTGGGTGCCTTCCACCTCGTGTTCCGTGGTTCCTGCTGCTCTCTGGACCTCTCCAGCCTCCCCAGGGACGTCCCGCTCTTCTTCTGAGCTAGCGCCATCACCACTGCCTTCTTCAGACTCCTCTCTAGACGGAGTTCCACCTTCTTCACTTTCACCTCCTTCACCACCCTCTTCCTCAGAGGAGGCCTCAGCCGGGCCCTCCTCAGGCATCCCCGACACCTGGCCCTCAGGAGGGTCGTTCTCTGTCTCCCTGTCCCCAGACTTCTCATTGGCCTCCTGACTAGGTCTAGGTTCCCCTTGGTCCTCAGCCTTTTCCCCAGTTTCTGTATCCACCTCAGCCTTTGGTTCTTCTCCAGCAGATGTGGCATCTGGGGCTGTCACTAGCTCTGTAGACTGATGACCAGACCCTGGGCTAGCCTCGACTTCTATTTGAGAGGAATGGACTTGGCTCTGGTCAGCTGCTCGTTCTGCAGCGTCTGCCTCTACTCCAGAAGACGTGTTGTCAGAGTCTGCATCGAGGTCAGGGGGCTGGTGATCAGGCCCTGAGATGGCTTCGTCTTCCGACTGCAGGGCGTGGCCCTGGGGCTGGTCCTCTGCCCGCTCCTTGGCTTCTGCAGCTGTGTCAGCCTCTGATTCGTCTCCAGCAGATGTGGCATCCTGAACTCCATCTAGCTCTGCGGATTGGCGGCCAGGCCCTGTGTCGCCCTCCCCTTCTGCCTCCACTGTATAGACCTCTTCGCCCTCTGTGCTAGGAGGGACCTGGGTGGCTGCAGACTCTGTTGTCCCTGCTGCGGCTTCTGTCATGGGGCTATCTGCTACACTCCCCTGGAATTCCTCAGGGACCCCACTACTTCCTTCTTGCACTTCCGCCCCCATGCTGGCAGCCCCCTCTGTGGGGAGCCCCAGCCCAACCTCCTCCTGTCCTGGTTCCCCTCCAGAACTGAACTCTGGCCTCTCCTCTTCTGGCCCCTCGACCCCTCCTGGAGAAGGGGCGCCTGCTGCTGGGCCCTTCTCTTCCTCCCCAGGCCCTTCAGCATCCCCAGATGGAGCTGACTCTGCAGCTGAGGTATTGGACAGGCTAGCTTCAGATTCGGAGCCCTGGCCGTTGGCAGTGGAAGGGACCCCTGCTGGGGTCTGCTCCAAGCTCTCAGCCTCCCTGCCGTCTGGGTAGTGAAGGAGCAGGTTCTTGTCTCCATGGGCCGCATCTGCATAAAGCGCCCTTTCTTTCTCCTCTAGACTTGCATCTCCAGCAGAGAAATGATTCTCCAACAAATTGCCAACATCTTCTGTGCCACCCGAAGCAGAGACTTGCAGTTCTAAATGATTAGAACATGATTGGTCAGTTCACAGGGTCGGCACTTGCCCTGCTTCTCAAGAGTCTATATCAGTCTAGCAGAGAGCACTGTATGTGCCTGGCGTCCAACGTTATGCCTCCCAACTTGGGTCCTCTGGACCACCTGCCTCCCTCCGAGCCTGTGGGGGTCTACAGACTAGGGAGTTAAAGAATTGACCTTCTGTCCACTAAGGGAGTTACTGCTGTAGTAACTCAAGAGCCCCCAAAGGCTGACCCTGACCTTCAAGTCTCCCCTGGGTCCTGCTGACTATATATGGAGAGAAACTTGGGTGAGCCCTTCCAGTCCTTCCTCAACCTTGCAACGGGCGTGGCACGTGCCACCTGGCTCCTGAGGAGATATTCCAAGATAGGACAAATGCGAGAGCATTCCACTCCTTGTCAGTTCCTAGAGTCATTAACCAGCATGCTTTTTATACTGCTATCAGCAGAGGAGTGAAAACAGGTGTTCGCAGGCCAGATAATCTTAGGTTACAAGGCAAAGTACTTAGGGGATTACTTGTGGCTCTTGGCTTTATTAAGTCACACATCTAACCCTGTCCCCTTAAGGGCAGGCATTCGCTGGCCTCCCTACCTCAGATTAGAGGGAACAGGGCCCTAAGGAGGAGACATCCAAAATGGGTAGGGCTGGGCTTCCCAATGGCCTCAGCCAACCCCTTCTGAGGGGATCCCCCTTCTAAGGTCCTGCAGCTGTACCCACAGAGCAGAGGGCACAGGGAGAAGAGAACAAACATCGGCCCAGTCTGTGCCGGAGACTGCCACCAAGGGTTAAGTTGGGTATTTTGGGAAATGGGGTGGACGCAAAGCTTAGACCTATCCCTCTGACCTTCCCTCCCAACTGGGATCTGTTTAAGGAGGAGGCCTGCAGGAAAAACTGCAAGCCTGCAGGAAGGGGTGGAAGACAGCCCCTCTTAGGGGAAGCCTGGTGCTTGCCTCTCCTCCTTCACTGAAGTAAAAGGCCTGTCTGTCTCCAGGTATCCCACCCCTTGCCAGTTCTCAAAAGGCAGGGGCAGCCTTCGGTCATTAGGAATGGGTGTTTTCTCATTCGCTCCCACAGTTAGTCAACTGTGCCAGCTTCTGAAGGATGGGAAACTCTGGGCACTTATTATAGAGGAGCCCTATATACAAATGTATAAAACTTCACCCCAAGCACAATAGTACACATGGCTATTTGTAAGCTTGCTCATCCTGCCTGGCAGATTTTAGACCCAGATTAGTGATGGTCTTTGGTTTGCCACAGACACATGGCCACCATGTGACTAAGAAGTGATAGAATACAGAACTGCCAACTCCTGGTCCATGATGTTGTCGGGAGACACAGAAACTTTTGATGGGTCTCATAGCCCCAGACTACATGCACCCTCTTCCCAGGATCATGTTCCTGGCTCCTGGGTAGCAGGATGGGTCTTAATTGTGTGTTCTCAGCACTCAAGACCCTTGCCTGCCCTGCAGAAAGTTCTAGAAGAAGTCAACACTCACATGAGGGAACCAGTAAGAATTCCTGGTTCTTTGGTCTCAGCAGGATGGGAAGCCAAATATTACTTGCCACAATTCCTTCCCCTGCATTTCTGTCTCTAGTTCCTGAGAAGAATCTGTGGCAGGAATTTGTTTTAACCTACGGAGACTGACAGTCCCCTGAGCAGTAAAATGTATAAATACATGAGATACATTCATATAATTACTTACTATGCCAGGCAACAGAAAATATCTCAGTCTCACTCAGTTTATTTAGACTTACTTGCTTCTGGAAAACAAGTATTACTTATCTCTCTGTCTCTCTGTGTGTGTCTCTGTCTCTTTCTGTTTTGTTTTGTTTTTCAAGACAGGGCTTCTCTGAGTAGCCTTGGCTGTCCTGGACACTCTCTGTAGACTAGGCTGGCCTCAAACTCAGAGATCTGTCTGCTTCTCCTTCCTGAGTGCTAGAATTAAAGGTGTGCTCAACCGCAGCCTGGCTATTTATCTCTTTTGCAGGTGAGAAGACTGACATTCAGGGACCTACCTGTGTCACATGCCTAGTAACAGGCTGAGGACCTGGAAAGGACATTGCCTGACTTCTGAGCGGGGTTATTACTACTCAGAGTGTGGCCCAGGGACCAGCTTCTTCCCCAGCGTCACCTCAGAGCTTTCTGGAGACAGTCTCAGGAGCCAGCCAGAACACATGGATCCGAATACTTAACAAGATGCCGCGGGTGACGAATTTACACATTCCTATGGTTTGAGAGGCACTGGTCTCTACCACGTCCTCTCCTGTCCTTTCCTGTGGCTTTTAACACATGGAATCACCTTGTTCTTGGTTCTTTATTTCCTCCCTTTCCTTAGTGGTTCAGATTTAAATTATCCAAGATGCAGCCCTAGCAACAACAACAAAAACTTATCTCCAGTAATCCCAGCACACAAAATTACAAACCACTGCAGCTTCAAAGACAAACAGTTTTGACCCCAGGCTTCTGCTCCTATCCCCTCCACGTTGGGAGGACCCCCACTTAACTTCCAATTTGGGTTAGGCCTGCAAAACCTGGCATTGTCTTCAGAACAGCAGTAGTTATCAGCTTTTCCTCTGATACAGCCAACCATTTCCACAGGCTGCTGCTACCCTCTGATGACAAAGATGGAGGCCGTGATGACTGTGGTGGTGATGACGACTGTGGTGATGAAGGCTGTAGTGACGATACTGAGCTAAACAGATTCTAGGTCTGGCTTCTTGTTATATTTCTGATATTCTCAAAAGAACCTCTGCCGGGCAGTGGTGGCGCACGCCTTTAATCCCAGCACTGAGGAGGCAGAGCCAGGTGGATCCCTTGAGTTTGAGGCCAGCCTGGTCTACAGAGCAAGTTCTAGAACAGCCAGGGCTACACAGAGAAACCCTGTCTTGAAAAAAGAAAAAAGAAAAAACTCTGACTCCAGTGGGAGTGAGAAGCTGGCATCATCCAAAAGAGCGTGAAGAACTAGATGTTGAGGGGACACCTGACCTCCACACAGCTCTGTTTCCACCTGCAGTTACTAGACCGTGTGTGTGTACATTAGCATCTCCCATCTTTGGTGTTTAGATCTCAAAGCCAAAGTGCCCCTCATTGTCTACTAAGCAGTTTGGCAGGAAAAAGACTGATGCCCCATGGCCCTCCTTCTCGGGCTAAAACGGACTGCTCTGGCAGAAAATCTTTCCGTGAAACCACCTGTCCCGCTGGGGCTCCCAGAGCTCAACCTCAGGAAGCATTGGACCCAAATCTGTTGTGGGAGGCACATCTGATGCTCAGTTCCCTGAGATCTAAGGCCAGTGTCCCTCCTTCCCCCTCCCTTGACTTCTGGCCAGAGCCCTTGTTGGTGCCCAGAGCAGGAGGGGGAGAGAGGACACAGAGGATCCCGGTGGGCTGAGTCCTGGTGAGATGAGTATGGTTCCATATCAGGACATGAAGTGTCCTACTGTATGAACTGCTGCCAACACAGCCACCTCAGCGCTGCCAGGCTGGGCACTGACGTCAGGGCACATGAATAGCAGGTCCCCAGCTCATCCTCAGAGGCCCCTGACAGGCCGAGTCCCAGCCTCACTCACACTCAGGCACAGCCCGGCACAAGCTAGCACTGCCTCCCCGGGGACCCCCTCTACCATCAGCCCTCTTGGGGAACCTAGGCTTTTTGCTCTCCCAGCCCCACCCCCCAACAGTGGTTCCACATGCTGCTTGGTTCTTCTCTTTTCTCCCCACAGACAAGCACCCTGGCTTTGTTCCTCTACTCCTGCCTTGTCCCACAGCACTCTCTGTGACTCGGAGACTGATGAGTTTCCAAGGGCCTATGAGTCCAACTGGAGAGGAGGAAGCTTTGGCCAGGGAGGGGCTTAAAGGCTGGCCAGAGGACAAGGTCAGGCTGGGACAGGGCCTGTCTGTGGCCTAGTGTTCTCACTCTACCTCAGTGGCTTACCTGCTTGTCTTCCAGGAAGTTCCTAAGGGAGAGGGAAGATGAAGTAGGCTAGAGGCAGGGCTTCCTCCATATTCCTCAGCTCCCTGAATCTACCTGCCCACTGTCTAGAGGGGACTCCCTGCCTTTCCGGTCCTGTGTGGCTTTTTTCCCCCACTTTGCTGATCTACGGGGCAAAGCTCCGCAGTAGATCCCGTCTTGCCCTCAGGGTTCTCAGACACTTTGGAGTTCTTGTTCTTTGATCCTCCTCACAGCCCTCTCAGGCAGCAAAGGCAACGGCTATCAGTCTCTCTTGAAATGAGGAAACAGACACCGGAAACATAGGCGTTTGTCCCACAAGCCATTCCTGCGGATTCTGCCTGGGAATGGTGTCATCACACCTACAAAGCTTTTCAAGCACTGGATCCCGCTCTGGGGTTGGGCCAGTATGTAGCTGTGTCTTATAAGATAATTCTAGATAATACCAAGGCCTAAGACCCTCAGCGGTAAGTCTTCCTCAGTACAAAATAACAAGGAGTTCTGTCCCAAAGTTGAAAGTGGAGGTTGAAAGAACAGATCTCAAAACCCAAGAGATTTTTTTGTTTATTTATCTGTTTTGAGCTCACCTCAATGCAAATTCTATTGCAGGTTGTCTCTTTAGGACTTTGGAGGTGGAGGTGGGGACAGGGTCTCACTGTGTATCCCTAGTCAACCTGAACTTACTTTGTAAATCAGAGATTCACCTGCCTCTGCCTCCAAGTGTTGGGATTAAAGGCGGGTGCTGGCTCCTTGGCAATCTTTAGTAAGGATAGGCTGAAGTTACTCTCCCACATGCTTTCTCATCCATTTGATCTGAAACTGTGACGGTCAGAGTCACTCATACACATTTATGCAAATGAGTCATCAATAGTAATAAAGATGCCAGTGGAAAAGTCTTTCCTGGTTGTACACCTTAGGAGGAGTGCACTGGCCTTGAGGCACACAGGAGTTCCAAGTCCCACTGTTAGTGGCCCTTGGCCCACTCGTCAGCTTCTCATGGGCCGTGTCTCCAAAGTGACTGGAGACACATCAGAA